AGTCTTTGTGTGAATATTGGGATGACGCTGCAAACTGGAAATATGATAACACCTGTGGTCAAATTGTCATTCAGAAGCATATAAACAAGGCGTTCTTGGTAGACAGGAATTTTTTCTTTATACGACCTGCGTTGGAGCTGTTATTTCAATCGTTGGATTGGTTCTCAACTTTAATGAGGAGGTTGACGTTGTTTGTTGTCATATATATGTATATACATATATTAATATTAATATTATTAATATTAATTTTTACATATTTTTAAAGTTTGCCTTCACAAAATGTAAGATCAACTGCTCAACTTACGATTCCACCAATCATTTGACCACAGGTGTTGTCATATTTCCAGTTTGCAGCGTCATCCCAATATTCACACAAAGACTCGCCTCCTATGTCCTTGTTGTACGAAGAGAAAACAGCGGCAAGGGCAACATGAAATATGTAAAAAGAAGGATTTATGTAAGTTTTCTTAAGAGAACTTCATCAATTATATTGTTTGCACGTGTAGTATTTCAGTGAGCTATAGCGATATACTATATTACAAAAATTAATATATAAATAATACTTACAACTTGACAAATTTTGAAAATGACTGATGGTGAAGAGAAGCTCATTGTTTGATCTGAAAGTGCTAAACGTACTAAACGTTATCCCAGTGATCAGTGAAATTCAAATTACTTTCAAAAGAATTCAGTAGGACACAATAGAATATATGAATATGCACCCTCTCTAATTAACGTTCTAGTTACGCCACTGGCAGTGTTCATTTGAAAACTATAATTAATTGTGAATTGGATGTCCACCCTCATCTCTTAAATATATATAGTAAATGTTTTGTATTAAAAGCATAATCCCTAAAACACTGAAATTGAAGGCTACCATGCATTATTCGAAAAACTGCTTCATAACAATTTAAAGTACCTGTTTTTTTTTCGAGGGTCTTGCTTTTAGTTGTTGAATGTTGTATTTGTGTGTCTCAACGGTAACTTATCTGTTTGCGAATAAAGGTTGGTTTTAACCAGCTTTTTATATGGTATGGTAATAAGTATATGTCACCGAGTTGTCAACTGTCAAACGGAAATCCTCGTCATAGTGAATATCACACCCCACTGCTACATAAAAAAGTGAGGAGGTTGACGTTGTTTGTTGTCAAACAGACGACTTGATACATTTGATAAACAAGCAAACTACGACATAATAACGTCATAAGTAAAACATGAACATGCATATTTGCAAGCAGCATATACTGTTTAATGCTGAGTGAGCCTGATGTATGTATTTATGATATAATAAATATCTGACGATTTATTTGTAACATATAATTAAACACAAAGACTATTAAAGACTATAAAATATCAAGTAAAAGACTAAAGTTTTGTCAAACTTGAAATCATATAGTTAGTTGACTGCACACTTGCTAAATGCGTGTCGTATTACAATCAAATACCTTAACTATTTGACACACCTGTAATTTCCTGGAAAAGCTCCTCCGATTTTATCTTATCAAATTTCTTTTTTGGAAAAATACAAGCTGTTACTGAAACGCAAACCGAGCTATATGATGTAAGAAAGTCACTAGATTTCTCGTTGTGTGAATTATTAGAACTTTTTATCTTCTTCCTCAGATGAATTCCGTGGAGAAACTTTGATCAATTTTTCATGTTTCTTTTGTTTCCTATTTACGTCAGTTTTCAGTCATGTCGTCTTTCAGTGTAATCATGACGTAAATATGATTCTTTCAACAATTCCAACGACATTGTTGCTTATTCATTCTTTACAAGCGTTAAAAGTAAAGGTGCAAACGTCAGCAAGCAATAACAGATTTTAGCTTCAGTTACTGAAATTAAACCTTTTAAATAGTAAAATTGGACGAAAGCATGCAATTTCTCTTATCCAATGTATCAATTATGTAAGATTTTTTCCCCACAGTTTCAATTTTCTCTATCAATTATTCATCCTGTGAAAATCATAAAAAGATAAACCTTTTGCCCCATAGCTATCCTTTTTATTCATATTGAATGTTTAGTTTTGCCTTATGAAGTTGTTGACATTGAATTTCGTCTTTTATCTTAAGTCATCGATTAATCTAGTTGAACTTTTGAAAAGGTTAATGATTTTTTGTTTGTTCTAATGAATATTGCAAAGATTTATCACTATATTGCACCGTGTTATTGAACGTTTATTTTTGTTAAATGCAGGGAAAAGGCGCAAATGCAATGACGCATTCGGAATTGAAAAAATGGCTATCATGTAAGTAAGCTTGCACAGCTAAAAGATTAAAGACCCAAATTAAAAGTCGCAAAAATAGCAACTCGAGACACAAAACGCCCACGATTCTTCATATTAAATACTGCCAGCAAAGTCGTAAAGACTCTTAACTTTTTCACAAACAATTTTTCTGGCTTTCATATGCGCATTTTGATACATTTAGCATACATTCTGATTCTCTATACACTTGACAAGCTATGATGTAATACAAATGGTAGACAAGATGGTGCTTCCATAACTCAATTATTTTAATCCATTTCAATCTAACACCAAGAAGATAACCACTCTTTTCCATTCTTCATAGCTCCATCTCGGCCGTTTCAAGTTCATTGCCAGAATCAGTCGCAACGACACTCAGCCAAAAGTGAAATGATGAATCCACAATATACAGGATAAATGCAGTAAAGGCAAATACCTAACAACAAAATTATTCGACTTGTTTGACTTTCATCTTTCCAAATTTGAAATACACAAACCGTAATTGACATTTAAAAGTTTTTAGAATTAAAATATCGGATTACTGCATAATGCATAAAGTTCACGGGTCGATTTACTCTTTAGAATTTACTTTTCATGGAAATTCTATGGTAATTTAAGCGACCTTAACATGTTGATATTTCTGCAGAGCGCGCACTCTATTTCGATATGTATTATAAAACTGCGATCATCAAGTCCACTCTCTCTTACATTTGTAGCATGACTTACCACGGCGACAACAAGATTATTGCATTCAAAATCTTTATGAACAGACTTCCAAGAATCGCAAAGACCCGAAGCTTTATATGATCTCGTATTATCGGCCAAAATACCAGCAGAGATCAACAGCATTACGGTGAAAATGACATAGATTATTGCCATCTAAATATCATTTATAATGAAGAATTATTTATAATATCATTCAAAGCTGATCTCAACAACAGAACTACATTGGTTATAAGCTGGTTGATTAGGCACGGTAAGTTGATTGGCCATTGGAATTTTTACTCATCCAATTTCTTTTACAAAAACGCTAGATCACTTTTCAGATGGATGGAAGACTTATCTACATGTTATTATGTAATAAACTTGTCTCAAAAACGTTAAATATATATTCAATACATTTGCTCTCTTGAACAAGTATATACTGTTTCTCATACCGCTAAAACCCAATTTACTTGGTGAAGAATCTTGTGTCCGCCAACAGTGAAAAAGAGAAACGAGACTATGGTGAAAATCCACGTGCACGCCACGCAAAATATGAAAAAATTCCACGTGCCTCGAGTGTTGTTCAAAGTGCTCATAAAAGCTGCGATACATGACAGAGATATCAGGAGCGCCACCTTTTTTGATTTTAAAATGATAGAGAAATGTATTAGTAAGGAGCAAATGATGGATAATGAGGCATATGACTGCATTACTGACGTCACTGGGAGTGAAAAACAACTGCGTGACCCCTATTTACCTTGTAATTATCCTTATTTATCTCATCATGATCCCTATTTGTTTTGTCAAAATCTCCCTATATATATTGTGATGATCCTCATTTACTTTGTTTTGCGTTGTGATGATCCCTATTTATCTCTTCATGTTCCTTGTTTATGTTTTGATAACCCCCGTTTATATCGCCACGATTCCCACTTATCTTGTTATGATCGCAGCGATGTTTTCTACGCAATGATGCAGACGTTTATACAAGCCTTCAAATAACTTACAAATTCGAATATTTTTCAAATTCCTGGAGGGGAAACGATGAACTGAAAGCCTTGACCAATTTGCGTTTTATCAGATTTTCTAAAAAGGAAAAAGTAATTATGTGTTCATCAAGAGCACAGTGGATACGACAACAGGAGTGAACATGAGTGAACTCGATGTATGTATTTATGATATAATAAATATCTGACTATTTATTTGTAACATATAAATAAACACGAAGACTATTAAAGATTATAAAACATCAAGTAAAAGACTAAAGTTTTGTCAAAGTCGAAATCATATAGTTAGTTGACTGCAGACTTTCTTAATGCCGGTCGTATTACCATCAAATACCTTAACTATTTGACACACCTGTAATTTTCTGGAAAAGCTCCTCTAGTTAGTTGCGACGACATAAATAATTGCCACAATACAAGATACCTATCTACAAAAATTCTGACAGGTTGAAAGGAGTTTAGAATTAGTGTTGGTGTTAATCTTCTTCTTTGGGTTTGATTAGATATACAATTATTTAAATACACGTAAATTATTTTATGCATGTGTAGATGCATAATTTTCTCATGCATGATTTTCTTGTATTCTGCTTTTATCTTATAGAATTTCTTTTTTGGAAAAATGCAAGCTGTTACTGAAACGCAAACCGAACTATATGATGTTAGAAAGTCACTAGATTTCTCGTTGTGTGAATTATTAGAACTTTTTATCTTCTTTGTCAGATGAATTCCGTGGAGGAGCTTTGATCAATTTTACATGTTCCTGTTGTTTCCTACTAACGTCAGTTTTTAGTCATGCTGTCTTTCAGTGTAATTATGACGTAAATATGACTCTTTGAACAATTCCAATCTTTAGGTAAGCCACCCCTTACAAAAATTTCACATTTGATTTCATATATGAAATTGGAATTCACGTATATCGAAAATACTTTTTTCGATAAAATAAGACAAGTCTATATTGATGCTGTGTAAATACGTAATAATTTTGTTGCGTTTTATCTCAGAAATCAAAAAAGTGCAGAGACATGAGCACTAGAAAGACAAATCTCTTAATCAACAGCAAGGAGAAAAATTCTTATTTTTATTCAAATGCATGCTTAATGATGTAACAGTTACTTTACATGAAAAAGTTACAATAACCTAAATGACGCAAAAATATTGATTTTGTTTGTGGGTTGAGGACTAAATGCGATTAACTAGCTATCCATGTTAACTCTGTTCCTTAGAAGTTGTGAAAGTGAAAATAGCATCCATTCCATACAAAATGGCGGCAATAAAACCAGAGACCTATGAAAGATAATAGAAGTATTTAAACTCTTCTTCTCATCAAGAATCACTATATGAACGAAACGACAGCTGCAAAGTTTGCCTTTACAAAATGTAAAATCAACTGTTCAACTTACGATTCCACCAATCAATTGACCACAGGTGTAATCATATTTCCTGTTTGGGGTGTCATCCCAAACTTTACATTGAGACTTAGAAGGTACTGGAATTAAGTATTCATCCGTGTTGTTAAACGAAGAGAAGACAACGGTTTCATCCTTGTTGTTAAACGAAGAGAAAACAACGGTAATTAGGCTTGTGGTGACCAATAACTGTATCGTCCATATACCTTGCACTGCTGCCATCTGTAAAAGTGGAATGGCATTATTCACCATTAAACAGTAAGAAAAAGGCACCCCATATGAAAGGGTTGAGAATAAACCTCGGCAAACTTAAATACTGTATTATACTTATATATGCAGCAAAGAATTTGACAGAACTGATTTACAAATGTAAACTTTGTAGCAAACACTCTTCCTGTAGTCTTAAACATAATGAACTTACAGCTGCAGCATTGTGCTTTTTATTGATTAATCCATTAAAGTTGAGAACCAATCCAACGATTGAAATAACAACTCCGACGCCGGTCGTATAAAGAAAAAATTCCTGTCTACCAAGACGGCCTTGTTTATATGATTCATCGTCAATACTATCAACGAATTCTTTTGTGAAGTAGCCAACACATCCCAAACCAGCGGCAAGTGCAACCTGAAATATGTAAAAAGAAGGATTTATGTAGGTTTTCTTAAGAGAACTTCATCATTTATATTGTTATGTACGTGTAGTATGTTGGTGGGCAATAGCAATATACTATAATACAAAAAGTAATATATAAATAATACTTACAATTTGACAAACTTTCAGAATGACTGATGGTAAAGTGAAGCTCATTGTTTGATCTGAAAGTGCAAAACGTACTAAACGTTATTCCAGTGATCAAAGGCGTAACTAGAACGTTAATCGAAGGAGTGCATATTCCTATATTCAGTTGTGTCCTACTGTTTTCTTTTGAAATTCAAATTACTTTTAAAAGAAATCAGTAGGACACAACAGAATATATGAATATGCACCATCCCCAATCAACGTTCTAGTTACGCCACTGGCAGTGATCATTGGAAAACTATATTTAATTACGAAGTTGATGTCCACCGTTGACCCTCATCTCTTAAATATATATAGTAAATGTTTTATATTAAAATCATAATCCCTAAAACACTGAAAACGAAGGCTACCATGCATTATTCATAAAACTGCTTCATAACAAGTTAAAGTTCCTGTTTTGTATCGAGGCTCTCGCTTTTAGTTGTTGAGTGTTGTCTTTATGTGTCTCAACGGTATTTTATCTATTTACGAATAAAGGTTGGTTTTAACCTGCTTTTATATGGTATGGTAATAAGTATATGTCACCGAGTTGTCAACTGTCAAACGAAAATCCTCGTCATAGTGAATATCATACCCCACTGCTACATAAAAATGTGAGGAGGTTGACGTTATTTGTTGTCGTAATAACAACAAATAACGTCATCAGTAAAACATGAACATGCACATTTGTACGCAGCATATACTGAATAACGCTGAGTGAACTTGATGTTTGTAGTTATGATATGATAAATATCTGACTAATAATTTATAACATAAAAGTAAACACGAAGACTATTAAAGATTATAAAATATTAAGTAAAAGACTAAAGTGTTGTCATACTCGAAATTATTTAGTTAGTTGACTGCAGACTTGCTTAATGCGTGTCGTATTATTGATGCCATTGTACATATTTGTCATTGTATCTGACGATGTCTTTAAGATAGACACGAGACGTTATCAATACAGAAACCTTTTAAATCTAATTCATTTTCTTTATGGCTCTGTTACAGTCCATATTTTCTTCATTGATTTTTGACGACGCAATATGACAGTACTTCTTTAGTGATCAAAATGTTTCAACCTAATTTTGAGGTAAATGACTGACGCCTCACGCCGGCAGATACAACGCAGGATTTTATATACAGCAACGGTTTTCCAAATATTGCTTTATTTCTTCAACAATGACACCCCGAACAAGAACCAAAAATCACAGAGTCAGTATTTTAATATAACCAGACGAACGTTAGGATAACAGCTATAAGGGCTTGAAAGAATAATGTCAGTTTACGTAACCACATGATTGTAAACATGCATAAAAATTTCATGTTATTATGTATTACAGCATCAAATGGCACGTTAATACGTTACACATTTTGGGTAAGCTACCCCTTACGAAAATTTCACATTTGAATTCATATATGAAATTATTATTTACGAAATATCGAAAATACTTTTTTCGATAAAAGAAGTCATGTCTATATTGATACTGTACAAATAAGTAATAATTTTGTTGCGTTTTATGTCAGAAATCAAAAAAGTGCAGAGACATGAGAAGTTTGCACTACAAAGACAATCCTCTTAAACAACAGCAAGGACGAAAATTCTTATTTTTATTCAAATGCGTGCTTAATGATGTAACAGTTACTTTACATGAAAATGTTACAAAAACCTAAATGACACAAAAATATTGATTTTGTTTGTTGGTTGAGGACTAAATGCGATAAATTTGCTTCCATGTTAACTCTGTTCCGTAGAAATTGTGAAAGTGAAAATAGCATCCACTCCATACAATATGGCGGCAATAAAACCAGAGACCTATGAAAGATAATAAAAGTATTTAAACTCTTCTTCTCATCAAGAATCACTATATGAACGAAACGAGAATTGCATAGTTTGCCTTTACAAAATGTAGGATCAACTGTTCAACTTACAATTCCACCAATCAATTGACCACAGGTGTAATCGTATTTAATGTTTGCGCCGTGATCCCAATATTCACACAAAGACTCGCCTCCTATGTCCTTGTTGTACGAAGAGAAGACAACAGAAATTAGGCTTGTGGTGACCAATAACTGTATCGTCCAAACACCTTGCACTGCTGCCATCTGTAAAAGTTGAATGGCATTTTTCATCATTAAACAGTAAGAAAAAGGCACTCCATATGAAAGTGTTGAGAATAAACCTCGACAAACAGACTTAAATACTAGATTATACTTATTTATGCAGCAAAGAATTTGACAGAACTGATTTACAAATGTAAACTTTGTAGCAAACACTCTTCCTGTGTCTTAAACATAATGAACTTACAGTTACAGCATTGTGCTTTTTATTGATTAATCCACTAAAGTTGAGAACCAACCCAACGATTGAAATAACAACTCCAACACTGGTCGTATGGAGGAAAAATTCCTCTCGACCAAGAACACCTCGTTTATAATCTTCAAAATTAAAATCGTCAAAATAATCAACGGATTCTTTTGTGTAGTAACCAACACATCCCAAACCAGCGGCAAGTGCAACCTGAAATATGTAAAAAGAAGGATTTATGTAAGTTTTCTTAAGAGAACTTCATCATTTATATTGTTATGCACGAGTAGTATTTCAGTGGGCGATAGCAATATACTATAATACAAAATTTAATTTATAAATAACACTTACAATTTGACAAATTTTGAGAATGACTGATGGTAAAGTGAAGCTCATTGTTTGATCTGAAAGTGCAAAACGTACTAAACGTTATTCCAGTGATCAAAGGCGTAACTAGGACTTTAATCGAGGGAGTGCATATTCCTATATTCAGTTTTGTCCTACTGTTTTCTTTTGAAATTCAAATTACTTTTAAAAGAAATCAGTAGGACACAACAGAATATATGAATATGCACCATCCCCAATCAACGTTCTAGTTACGCCACTGGCAGTGATCATTTGAAAACTATATTTAATTACGAAGTTGATGTCCACCGTTGACCCTCATCTCTTGAATATATATAGTAAATGTTTTATATTAAAATCATAATCCCTAAAACACTGGAAAAAGGCTACCATGCATTATTCATAAAACTGCTTCATAACAAGTTAAAGTTCCTGTTTTGTATCGAGGCTCTTTTAGTTGTTGAGTGTTGTCTTTATGTGTCTCAACGGTAACTTATCTATTTACGAATAAAGGTTGGTTTCAACCAGCTTTTTATATGGTATGTTGATAAGTATATGTCACCGAGTTGTCTACTGTCAAACGGAAATCCTCGTCATAGTGAATATCACACCCCACTGCTACATAAAAAAGTGAGGACGTTGACGTTGTTTGTTGTCAAACAGACGACTTGATACATTTGATAAACAAGAAAACTACGACATAATAACGTCACCATTAAAACATTAAAATGCACATTTGTACGCAGCATATAGTGATTAATGCTGAGTGAGCTTGATGTATGTATTTATGATATAATAAATATCTGACGATTTATTTGTAACATATAAGTAAACACAAAGACTATTAAAGACTATAAAATATCAAGTAAAAGACTAAAGTTTTGTCAAACTCGAAATCATGTAGTTAGTTGACTGCAGACTTTCTTAATGCCTGTCGTATTACAATCGAATACCTTAACTATTTGACACACCTGTAATTTTCTGGAAAAGCTCCTCTGATTAGTTGCAGCGACATAAGCAGTTGCCACAATACAAAATACCTATCTACAAAAATTCTGACCGGTTTAATTAAAGGAGTTTAGAATTAGTGTTGGTGTTAATCTTCTTCTTTGGGTTTGATTAGATATACCATCATTTAAATACACATTAATTTTTTTATGCATGTGTAGATGCATGTATTGTATATTGTTTCTAATAAATGTGCTCGTGCATGATTTTCTTGTATTCCGCTTTTATCCTATAGAATTTCTTTTTTGGAAAAATGCAAGCTGTTACTGAAACGCAAACAGAGCTATATGATGTTAAGAAGTCACTAGATTTCTCGTTGTGTGAATTATTAGAACTTTCTATCTTCTTCCTCAGATGAATTCCGTGGAGGAACTTCGATCAATTTTGCATGTTCCTGTTGTTTCCTACTTACGTCAGTTTTCAGTCATGTCGTCTTTCAGTGTAATCATGACGTAAATATGATTCTTTCAACAATTCCAATCTTTGGGTAAGCCACCCCTTACGAAAATTTCACATTTGATTTCATATATGAAATTGGAATTCACGAATATCAAAAATACTTTTTTCGATAAAAGAAGACAAGTCTACATTGCTACTGTATAAAAAAGTAATAATTTTGTTGTGTTTTATGTCAGAAATAAAAAAAGTGCAGAGACATGAGCAGTTCGCACTACAAAGACAATTCTCTTAATCAACAGCGAGGACGAAAATTCTTATTTTTATTCAAATGCATGCTTAATGATATAACAGTTACTTTACATGAAAATGTTACAATAACCTAAATGATACAAAAATATTAATTTTTATTTGTTGGTTAAGGACTAAATGTGATAAATTTTCTTCCATGTTAACTCTGTTCCGTAGAGATTTTGAAAGTGAAAATTGCATCCACTCCATACAATATGGCAGCAATAAAACCAGAAACCTATGAAAGATAATAGAAGTATTTACACTCTTCTTCTCATCAAGAATCACTATATGAACGAAACTACAGTTGCAAAGTTTGCCTTCACAATATGTAAGATCAACTGTTCAACTTACCATTCCACCAATCAATTGACCACAGGTGTAATCATATTTCCTGTTTGGGGCGTCATCCCAATATTCACATGAAGACGTGCCTCCTATGTCCTTGTTGTACGAAGAGTAGACAACGGTAATTAGGCTTGTGGTGACCAATAACTGTATCGTCCATATACCTTGCACTGCTGCCATCTGTAAAAGTGGAATGGCATTATTCACCATTAAACAGTAAGAAAAAGGCACTCCATGTGAAAGGGTTGAGAATAAACTTCGGCAGACTTAAATACTTGATTATACTTATACATGCAACAAAGAATTTGACAGAACTGATTTACAAATGTAAACTTTGTAGCAAACACTCTTCCTGTAGTCTTAAACATAATGAACTTACAGCTGCAGCATTGTGCTTATTATTGATTAATCCATTAAAGTTGAGAACCAATCCAACGATTGAAATAACAGCTCCAACGCAGGTCGTATAAAGAAAAATTCCTGTCTACCAAGAACGCCTCGTTTATATGATTCTGAATTAGAATCGTCAATATAATCAACGGACTCTTTTGTGAAGTAACCAACAAATCCCAAACCAGCGACAAGTGCAGCCTGAAATATGTAAAAAGGAGGATTTATGTAAGTGATTTAAAGGAGGATTTATATTGTTATGTACGTGTAGTATTTCAGTGGGCGATATACAAAATTACAAAAATTAATTTGTAGATAATACTTACAATTTGACAAATTTTGAAAATGACTGATGGTGAAGAGAAGCTCATTGCTTGATCTGAAAGTGCAAAACGTACTAAACGTTATCCCAGTGATCAGTGAAATTCAAATTACTTTCAAAAGAATTCAGTAGGACACAACAGAATATATGAATATGCACCCTCCCTAATTAACGTTCTAGTTACGCCACTGGCAGTGTTCATTTGAAAACTATATTTAATTACGAATTGGATGTCCACCCTCATCTCTTAGATATATATAGTAAATGTTTTGTATTAAAATCATAATCCCTAAAACACTGAAATTGAAGGCTACCATGCATTATTCGAAAAACCGCTTCATAGCAATTTAAAGTTCCTGGTTTTTTTTCGAGACTCTTTCTTTTAGTTGTTGAGTGTTGTCTTTGTGTGTCTCAACGGTAACATATCTGTTTGCGAATAAAGGTTGGTTTCAACCAGCTTTTTATATGGTATGGTAATAAGTATATGTCACCAAGTTGTCAACTGTCAAACGGAAATCCTCGTCATGGTGAATATCACACCCCACAGCTACATAAAAAAGTGATAAGGTTGACGTTGTTTGTTGTCAAACAGACGACTTGATACATTTGATAAACAAGAAAACTACGACATAATAACGTCACCAGTAAAACATGAACATGCACATTTGCACGCAGCATATAGTGATTAATGCTGAGTGAGCTTGATGTATGTATTTATGATATAATAAATATGTGACGATTAATTTATAACATATAAGTAAACACAAAGACTATTAAAGATCATAAAATATCAAGTAAAAGACTTAAGTTTTGTCAAACTTGAAATCATATACTTAGTTGACTGAAGACTTGCTTAATGTGTGTCGTATTACAATCAAATACCTTAACTATTTGACACACCTGTAATTTTCTGGAAAAGCTCCTCTAATTAGTTGCAGCGACATAAGCAATTGCCACAATGAAAAATACCTATCTACAAAAATTCTGACCAGTTTAATTAAAGGAGTTTAAAATTAGTGTTGTTGTTAATCTTCTTCTTTGGGTTTGATTAGATATACCATCATTTAAATACACATTAATTTTTTTATGCATGTGTAGATGCACGTGTTGTATATTGTTTCTAATAAATGCGCTCATGCATGATTTTCTTGTATTCTGCTTTTATCCTATAGAATTTCTATTTTGGAAAAATGCAAGCTGTTACTGAAACGCAAACCGAGCTTTATGATGTTAGAAAGTCACTAGATTTCTCGTTGTGTGAATTATTAGAACTTACTATCTTCTTCCTCAGATGAATTCCGTGGAGGAACTTCGATCAATTTTGCATGTTCCTGTTGTTTCCTACTTACGTCAGTTTTCAGTCATGTCGTCTTTCAGTGTAATCATGACGTAAATATAATTCTTTCAACAATTCCAACGACGTTGTTGCTTATTCATTCTTTACAAGCGTTAAAAGTAAAGGTGCAAACGTCAACAAGCAATAACAGATTTTAGCTTCAGATTACTGAAATTAAACCTTTTAAATAGTAAAATTGGACGAAAGCATGCAATTTCTCTTATCCAATGTATCAATTATGTATGATTTTTTCCCCACAGTTTCAATTTTCTCTATCAATTATTCATCTTGTGAAAATCATAAAAAGATAAATCTTTTGCCCCATAGCTATCCTTTTTATTCGTATTGAATGTTTAGTTTTGCCTTATGAAGTTGTTAACATTGAATTTCGTCTTTTCGCTTAAGTCATCGATTAATTTGAAAAGGTTAATGATTTTTTGTTTGTTCTAATGAATATTGCAAAGATTTATCACTATATTGCACCGTGTTATTGAACGTTTATTTTTGTTAAATGCAGGGAAAAGGCGCAAATGCAAAGATGCATTTGGAATCGAAAAAATGGCTACCATGTAAGTAAGCTTGCACAGCTAAATGATTAAAGACCCAAATTGAAAGTCGCAAAAATAGCAACTCGAGACACAAAACGCCCACGATTCTTCATATTAAATACTGCCAGCAAAGTCGTAAAGAGTCTTAACTTTTTCACAAACCATTTTTCTGGCTTTCATATGCGCATTTTGATACATTTAGCATACATTCTGATTCTCTATACACTTGGCAAGCTATGATGTAATACAAATAGTAGATAAGATGGTGCTTCCATAACTCAAATATTTTAATCCATTTCAATCTAACACCAAGAAGATAACCACTCTTTTCCATTCTTCATATCTCCATCTCGGCCGTTTCAAGTTCAATGCCAGAATCAGTTGCAACGACACTCAGCCAAAAGTGAAATGATGAATCCACAATATACAGGATAAATGCAGTAAAGGCAAATACCTAACAACAAAATTATTCGATTTGTTTGACTTTCATTTTTCCACATTTGAAAAACACAAACCGTAATTGACATTCAAAAGTTTTTAGAATTAAAATATCGGATTATTGCATAGTGCATACAATTCATGGGTCGATTTACTCTTTAGAATTTACTTTTCATGGAAATTCTATGGTAATTTAAGCGACCTTAACATATTGATATTTCTGCAGAGCGCGCACTCTATTTCGATATGTATCATAAAACTGTGATCATCAAGTCCACTCTCTCTTACATTTGTAGCATGACTTACCACGGCGACAACAAGATTATTGCATTCAATATCTTTATGAACAGACTTCCAAGAATCGCAAAGACCCGAAGCTTTATATGATCTCGTATTATCGGCCAAAATACCAGCAGAGATCAACAGCATTACGGTGAAAATGACATAGATTATTGCCATCTGAAATGCATTTATAATGAAGAATTATTTATAATATCATTCAAAGCTGATCTCAACAACACAATTATATTGATTATGAGCTGGTTGATTAGGCACGGTAAGTTGATTGGCCATTGTAATTTTTACTCATCTAATTTTTTTTAAAAAAACGCTGGATCACTTTTCATATGAATGGAAGACTTATCTACATGTTATTATGTAATAATCTTGTCTCAAAAACGTTAAGTATATATTCAATACATTTGGTCTCTTGAACAAGTATATACTGTTTCTCATACCGCTAAAACCCAATTTACTTGGTGAAGAATCTTGTGTCCGCCAACAGTGAAGAAAAGAAACGAGACTATGGTGAAAATCCACGTGCACGCCACGCAAAATGTGAAAAAATTCCACGTGCCTCGAGTGTTGTTCAAAGTGCTCATAAAAGCTGCGATACATGACAGAGATATCAAGAGCGCCACCTTTTTTGATTTTAAAATGATGGAGAAATGTATTAGTAAGGAACAAATGATGGATAATGGGGCATATGACTGCATTACTGACGTCACTGGGAGTAAAAGAAAGCTGCGTGACCCCTATTTACCTTGTAATTATCCTTATTTATCTCATCATGATCCCTATTTGTTTTGTCAAAATGTCCCTATATATATTGTGGTGATCCTCATTTACTTTGTTTTGCGTTGTGATGATCCCTATTTATCTCTTCATGTTCCTTGTTTATGTTTTGATAACCCCCGTTTATATCGCCACGATCCCCACTTATCTTGTTATGATCACAGCGATGTTTTCTACGCAATGATGCAGACCTTTGTACAAGCCTTTAAATAACTTACAAATTCGAATATTTTTAAAATTCCTGGAGGAAACGATGAACTGAAAGCCTTTCCAATTTGTGTTTTATCAGATTTTCTAAAAAGGAAAAAGTAATTATGCATTCATCAAGAGCACATTGGACACGACAACTCTTTTATTGACTAAAGCTACGGGCTTTTCTGTCATGAGTTTTATAAACGAAGTGTGATACATATTTTCGTGATCTGCGTCAAAATTGCTTGATGAATTCCTTAAAATATTCATGCGTCGCTTGCCTCTTCATTTCACAAAAATGGCAAAAGTTCATATTACATTAATTTGTTTATTTCTGGAAGTTAACGGATTAACTCGGAAATTTTCGGAAACTCTCGGAAGTATCCTGAAAACATCGGATTATCTTAAATTTGTCATTGTTTTGAAAGAACTGTAGAGCTATGAAGATTTTATTTTCATTGAACTATGATTTATCTATGCATTCTTTATGAAAATGATGAAAATACAAAAATGCTTTCTTCACAAACTTTTAATGTTCATGAAATATTCATGAAGAGAGCAAAAAGTTCACAAATCCTTGAACTTTGTTCACAATATGGCAACACTGTCTAAGGTATTTGAGCGATCCCAACCAATCAGATCCCAACAACAAACACTACCATAATCTGATCTGTATAAAATTTCTCTGATCCTAGAAGAAAAGGTAACCACAATAAGAATAACAAATTTACTTTCTGAATATACGAATTCGCAAGATTTGCTTGTAAAAAATGTTTTGCTATTGCCGAGTCGTTCTAATTTAGGATTGTGACCTGAAATATATTAACACTTTAACAGCAGCAGTTTTTGTAAGAGCTGCTGTGTTTGAAATATTTAAATTTTAAATTTGATAATAAGACTGGCAAGGTTTAATTTTGACGTGCAGCCCGTAGAAAAGTTAGAATAAGAAGCTCCTCCTCCCCTCGCCTACGTTTTTATGTTTAAAAAAAAATTGAAACGCATATATGTCGAAATACTTTTTTCGATAAAAGAAGTCGTGTCTATATTGATGCTGTATAAATAAGTAATAATTTTGTTGTGTTTTATGTCAGAAATCAAAAAAGTGCAGAGACATGAGCAGTTCGCACTACAAAGACAAATCTATTAATCAACAGCAAGGACGAAAATTCTTACTTTTATTCAAATGCATGCTTAATGATGTAACAGTTACTTTACATGAAAATGTTACAATAACCTAAATGACACAAAAACATTGATTTTGTTTGTTGGTTGAGGAATAATGCGATAAATTTGCTTCCATGTTAACTCTGTTCCGTAGAAGTTTTGAAAGTGAAAATAGCATCCACTCCATACAATATGGCGGCAATAAAACCAAAGACCTATGAAAGATAATAAAAGTATTTACACTCTTCTTCTCATGAAGAATCACTATATGAACGAAACGACAGTTGCAAAGTTTGCCTTCACAAAATGTAAAATCAAATGTTCAACTTACCATTCCACCAATCAGTTGACCACATGTGTTTCTGGCGGCATCCCCACCTTCACAGAAAGACCTGCCTCCTATGCCCTTGTTGTACCAAGAGAAAACAACGGTAATTAGGCTTGTGGTGACCAATAACTGTATCGTCCATATACCTTGCACTGTTGCCATCTGTAAAAATGGAATGGCATTATTCACCATTAAACAGTAAGAAAAAGGCACTCCATATGAAAGGTTTGAAAATAAACCTCGGCAGACTTAAATACTAGATTATACTTATATATGCAGCAAAGAATTTGACAGAACTGATTTACAGATGTAAACTTTGTAGCAAACACTCTTCCTGTAGTCTTAAACATAATGAACTTACAGTTACAGCATTGTGCTTTTTATTGATTAATCCACTAAAGTTGAGAACCCACCCAACGATTGAAATAACAACTCCAACGCAGCTCGTATAAAGAAAAAATTCCTGTCTACCAAGAACGCCTCGTTTATATGCTTCTGAATTAGAATCAACGCGTTCTTTTGTGAAGAAGCCAACACTTCCCAAACCAGCGGCAAGTGCAACCTGAAATATGTAAAAAGAAGGATTTATGTAAGTTTTCTTAAGAGAACTTCATCATTTATATTGTTATGCACGTGTAGTATTTCAGTGAGCTATAGCGATATACTATAATACAAAAATTAATATATAAATAATACTTACAACTTGAAAAAATTTGAGAAAAGTGAAGCTCATTGCTTGATCTGAAAGTGCAAAACGTACTAAACGTTATCCCAGTGATCAAAGGCGTAACTAGAACGTTGATTGGAGGGTGTATATTTATATATTTAGGTGTGCCAAACTGGTTTCTTTTGAAATTCAAATTACGTTTAAAAGAAATCAGTAGGACACAACAGAATATATGAATATGCACTCTCCCCAATTAACGTTCTAGTTACGCCACTGCCAGTGATCATTTGAAAACTATATTTAATTACGAAGTGGATGTCCACCGTTGACATTTATCTCTTGAAAATATATAGTAAATGTTTTGTATTAAAATCATAATCCCTAAAACACTGAAATTGAAGGCTACCATGCATTATTCGAAAAACTGCTTCATAACAATTTAAAGTACCTGTTTTTCTTTCGAGACTCTTGCTTTAAGTTGTTGAGAGTTGTCTTTGTGTGTCTCAACGGTAACTTATCTATTTGCGAATAAAGTTTGGTTTCAACCAGCTTTTTATATGTACAACAAAGTAAAACAAGGACATAGGAGGCGAGTCTTTGTGTGAATATTGGGATGACGCTGCAAACTGGAAATATGATAACACCTGTGGTCAAATTGTCATTCAGCCATATAAACAAGGCGTTCTTGGTAGACAGGAATTTTTCTTTATACGACCTGCGTTGAGCTATTTCAATCGTTGGATTGGTTCTCAACTTTAATGAGGAGGTTGAAGTTGTTTGTTGTCAAACAGACAACTTGATACATTTGATAAAATGTATCAATATTTTACATATTTTTAAAGTTTGCCTTAACAAAATGTAAGATCAACTGTTCAACTTACGATTCCACCAATCATTTGACCACAGGTGTTATCATATTTCCAGTTTGCAGCGTCATCCCGATATTCACATATACTTACATTTATTTTACAAGCATTAATCAGTATATGCTGCGTACAAATGTGCATTTTAATGTTTTAATGGTGACGTTATTTTGTCGTAGTTTGCTTGTTTATCAAATGTATCAAGTCGTCTGTTTGACAACAAACAACGTCAACCTCCTCATTAAAGTTGAGAACCAATCCAACAATTGAAATAACAGCTCCAACGCAGGTCGTATAAAGAAAAAATTCCTGTCTACCAAGAACGCCTTGTTTATATGCTTCTGAATGATAATTTGACCACAGGTGTTATCATATTTCCAGTTTGCAGCGTCATCCCAATATTCACACAAAGACTCGCCTCCTATGTCCTTGTTGTACTTTGTTGTACATATAAAAAGCTGGTTAAAACCAACCTTTATTCGCAATTGTACTTTCGTTCATATAGTGATTACATTTTAAATATAAATGGAAGTATGATAACACCTGTGGTCAAATGATTGGTGGAATGGTAAGTTAAACAATTGATCTTACATTTTGTGAAGGCAAACTTTGCAATTGTACTTTGTGTGTCTCAACGGTAACTTATCTATTTGCGAATAAAGGTTGGTTTCAACCAGCTTTTTATATGTACAACAAAGTACAACAAGGACATAGGAGGCGAGTCTTTGTGTGGATATTGGGATGACGCTGCAAACTGGAAATATGATAACACCTGTGCTCAAATGATTGGTGGAATCGTAAGTTGAACAGTTGATCTTACATTTATATGCTGCGTACAAATGTGCATTTGTACGCAGCATATACATTATACACATTTGTTCGCAGCATATACTGATTAATGCTGAGTGAACTCGATGTATGTATTTATGATATAACAAATAACTGACTATTTATTTATAACATATAAGTAAACACGAAGACTATTAAAGATTATAAAATGTCAAGTAAAAGACTAAAATTTTGTCAAACTCGAAATCATATAGTTAATTGACTGCAGACCTTCTTAATGCGTGTCGTATTGCAATCAAGTACCTTAACTATTTGACACACCTGTAATTTTCAGGAAAAGCTTCTCTGATTAGTTGAGACGACATAAATAATTGCCACAATACAAGATGTCTATTAACAAAAATTCTGACAGGCTTAAAGGAGTTTAAAATTAGTGTTGGTGTTAATATTCTTCTTTGGGTTTGATTAGATATACAATTATTTAAATACACGTCAATTTTTTTATGCATGTGTAGATGCATGTGTTGTATATTGTTTCTAATAAATGTGCTCATGGATGATTTTCTTGTATTCTGCTTTTATCCTATAAAATTTCTTTTTTGGAAAAATGCAAGCTGTTACTGAAACGCAAACCGAGCTATATGATGTTTGAAAGTCACTAGATTTCTCGTTGTGTGAATTATTAGAACTTTCTATCTTCTTCCTCAGATGAATTCCGTGGAGAAACTTTGATCAATTTTTCATATTCCTGTTGATTCCTACTTAAGTCAGTTTTCAGTCATGTCTTTCAGTGTAATCTTGACGTAAATATGATTCTTTCAACAATTCCAATCTTTGGGTAAGCCACCCCTTACGAAAATTTCACATTTGATTTCATATATGAAAGTGGAATTCACGAATATCGAAAATACTTTTTTCGATAAAAGAAGACAAGTCTATATTGATGCTGTGTAAATACGTAATAATTTTGCTGCGTTTTATCTCAGAAATCAAAAAAGTGCAGAGACATGAGCACTAGAAAGACAAATCTCTTAATCAACAGCAAGGACGAAAATTCTTATTTTTATTCAAATGCATGCTTAATGATGTAACAGTTACTTTACATGAAAATGTTACAATAACCTAAATGACACAAAAATATTGATTTTGTTTGTGGGTTGAGGACTAAATGCGATTAACTAGCTATCCATGTTAACTCTGTTCCTTAGAAGTTGTGAAAGTTAAAAATAGCATCCATTCCATACAAAATGGCGGCAATAAAACCAGAGACCTATGAAAGATAATAGAAGTATTTAAACTCTTCTTCTCATCAAGAATCACTATATGAACGAAACGACAGGTGCAAAGTTTGTCTTTACAAAATGTAAAATCAACTGTTCAACTTACGATTCCACCAATCAATTGACCACAGGTGTAATTATATTTCCTGTTTGGGGTGTCATCCCAAACTTTACATCGAGACTTAGAAGGTACTGGAATTAAGTATTCATCCTTGTTGTTAAACGAAGAGAAGACAACAGTAATTAAGCTTGTGGTGACCAATAACTGTATCGTCCATATACCTTGCACTGTTGCCATCTGTAAAAGTGGAATGGCATTATTCACCATTAAACAGTAAGAAAAAGGCACTCCATGTGAAAGGGTTGAGAATAAACCTCGGCAAACTTAAATACTTGATTATACTTATACATGCAGCAAAGAATTTGGCAGAACTGATTTACAGATGTAAACTTTGTAAGAAATACTCTTCATGTAGTCTTAAACATAATGAACTTACAGCTACAGCATTGTGCTTTTTATTGATTAATCCACTAAAGTTGAGTACCAATCCAACGATTGAAATAACAACTCCAACGCCGGTCGTATGGAGAAAAAATTCCTGTCTACCAAGAGCGCTGTGTTTATATTCTTCTGAATTAATATCGTCATAATAATCAACGTATTCTTTTGTGAAGTGACCAACACATCCCAAACCAACGGCAAGTGCAACCTGAAATATGTAAAAAGAAGGATTTATGTAAGTTTTCTTAAGAGAACTTCATCATTTATATTGTTATGTACGTGTAGTATTTCAGTGAGCTATAGCGATATACTATATTACAAAAATTAATTTATAAATAATACTTACAACTTGACAAATTTTGAAAATGACTGATGGTGAAGAGAAGCTCATTATTTGATCTGAAAGTGCAAAACGTACTAAACGTTATTCCAGTGATCAGTGAAATTCAAATTACTTTCAAAAGAATTCAGTAGGACACAACAGAATATATGAATATGCACCCTCCCTAATTAACGTTCTAGTTACGCCACTGGCAGTGTTCATTTGAAAACTATATTTAATTACGAATTGGATGTCCACCGTTGACCCTCATCTCTTAAATATATATAGTAAATGTTTTGTATTAAAATCATAATCCCTAAAACACTGAAATTGAAGGCTACCATGCATTATTCGAAAAACTACTTCATAACAATTTAAAGTACCTGTTTTTTTTTCGAGACTCTTGCTTTAAGTTGTTGAGTGTTGTATTTGTGTGTCTCAACGGTAACTTATCTATTTGCGAATAAAGGTTGGTTTCAACCAGCTTTTTATATGTACAACAAAGTACAACAAGGACATAGGAGGCGAGTTTTTGTGTGAATATTGGGTTGACGCTGCAAACTGGAAATATGGTAACACCTGTGGTCAAATTGTCATTCAGAAGCATATAAACAAGGCGTTCTTGGTAGACAGGAATTTTTTCTTTATACGACCTGCGTTGGAGTTGTTATTTCAATCGTTGGATTGGTTCTCAACTTTAATGAGGAGGTTGACGTTGTTTGTTGTCAAACAGACAACTTGATACATTTGATAAAATGTATCAATATTTTACATATTTTTAAAGTTTGCCTTCTCAAAATGTAAGATCAACTGTTCAACTTACGATTCCACCAATCATTTGACCACAGGTGTTATCATATTTCCAGTTTGCAGCGTCATCCCAATATTCACATATACTTACATTTATTTTACAAGCATTAATCAGTATATGCTGCGTACAAATGTGCATTTTAATGTTTTGATGGTGACGTTTTTTTGTCGTAGTTTGCTTGTTTATCAAATGTATCAAGTTGTCTGTTTGACAACAAACAACGTCAACCTCCTCATTAAAGTTGAGAACCAATCCAATGATTGAAATAACAACTCCAACGCAGGTCGTATAAAGAAAAAATTCCTGTCTACCTAGAACGCCTTGTTTATATGCTTCTGAATGACAATTTGACCACAGGTGTTATCATATTTCCAGTTTGCAGCGTCATCCCAATATTCACAAAAAGACTCGCCTCCTATGTCCTTGTTGTACTTTGTTGTACATATAAAAAGCTGGTTGAAACCAACCTTTATTCGCAATTGTAATTTCGTTCATATAGTGATTACATTTTAAATATAAATGGAAATATGATAACACCTGTAGTCAAATGATTGGTGTTCTGCTTTTATCCTATAGAATTTCTTTTTTGGAAAAATGCAAGCTGTTACTGAAACGCAAACCGAACTATATGTTAAAAAGTCACTAGATTTATAAGTCACAAGTATAGAGGGATATATATATATAGTTGGAATGTTATTAAACAAAAAGAATGATAGCACAACGCTATATACGTCTTATCTAACAACATTTGAGAAATTAACCTTCCACTCCTCTTCCTTGTAAACGTGACAAGTCTACTCAAAAGCAGAGATCCTTATACGCTACAAGTCCCGGGCTTGTGACCGGTATAGCAGAGTTAAAAGGTGAAAGGTTTATCATAGATTAATCAACTGAATATTCCTGCTTATTTTTGATTGGAAGCATGTTGAACAGTTCATATGGACAAAGGTCGAATTCCATATTAAACATCAGTAACA